ATTTTTTATGTTTATTCTGTATATATTTATATACTTGCCCTCTTCCACTCCCTCCATAGTTAGGATGTATGTTCCTTGAGGCTAGGAATTGTTTTGTGTCAGTCAGTCAGTAAACATTTCTTAAGCACCTACTGCGTATGCCAAGTCTTGTGCTAACCACTGGGAGTTCAAAAAAGACAGTTCCTGCTCTCAAGGAGCTCATAGCCTAATGGGGGAAACAACATGCAAATAACTATGTACAAACAAACTACTGACAGGACAAATAGAGGGTAATTTCAGAAAGAAGGCACTAGAATTAAGAGGGATTGGGAAAAGCATCCTATAGAAGGTAGGATTTTAGCTGGGATTTTTCTGAAAGAATCTAGGGAAGCCAGGATGTGAAGATAAGGAGGGAGAGCATTTCAAACATGGAGGACAATTAAAGAAAATGCTGGGAGTCCAGAGATGGGAGTGTCTTGTTCAAGTTACAGTTTCATCCACTGTGACTGGATCAAAAAGAAGACTGAATGGTAAGGATAAGGGAGAGAGGTTATGAAGGACTTTGCATGCTAAAAATATATTGGGCATTTTTGATCCTGAAGGTGAGGGGGAACCACTGGAGTTTATTGGGGTGGAGGCACGTGACATGGTCAGAACTATGCTTTAGGAAGATCACTTTGGCAGAGGTTGGACTGGAGCAGGAAGAGACTTTTGACAGGCAAATAGACCAACCAATAGTTTAGTGTAATGAGGGCCTTCAACAGGGTGTGGCAGGGTCAGAGAAGAGAAGGGGGCACATGCAAAGGATGATGGAAAAGGGAATACGGAAGTTAGAAAGACAGAAGGGTTTAGGAAAGAAAGACGAATATTTTTTATCTCCAGTACCTACCACAGTGCTTGGCACATGGTAGACATTTAATAAACACTTGTTGCTAGGTCTCTCAATTAAATTGTAGGCAGAAGTGACAAGATTTGGTGAATGATTAGATATGTGGGGTGAGTAAGTGAAAAGTCAAGTATGACACTACATGTTGTGATACCCTTTACAGAACAGGGAAGTTCAGAAGAGGAATTTTTTTTAGAATAATGAGTTTCACATCTTTATCTCCCATTTCCTTAATTTACTCAACTCCCATGACCTCCATTTTATCTCAGCTACACTTAAGAATGGTCATATCCTCAATACCGACATCACCCACAAGTTTTCCTCTATGCTGATCAAGAACTCTAAAATTCCTTTGTCCAATCATAATACCCAATCATTCCATCTCTCCCCAGTTCATTTTCCTGCAAACCCTACTCTTTGTCCACATTGTGACATTCAACCCCTTACCCCTAGCAATGCCTTAACTTTACTCTTTCCCCAGTCTCAACCCTTCAGTCAACCAATTAACCTCTATACTATCCTCTGCTTTCAAATCTCTAGCTTACTTCCTCCTTGGGTTATCATTGTTCACACCTTGTCAAACCCCAATCTTTGATCACTCTGATTTTTTCATCCAGTAAAAGAACTATACTTGTTGGATCCATTACAAATTTAATGTCATATACTCTCAACTGGGTCCTCATTGCAGCAAGGAAATCCTATTCCTCCCCATTTGAGTATCAATTCCACTTTCCATAGTGACTTTCAAACCTCTTTTCTCAGCAAAGCTCCTATGCTGTCCAGTTCCACCCCACCCTCTCAGTGGAGGATCTTGCCTCATATTTTGCTAAGAAAACAGAGGCCTTTTTTCTCCTTCTTACTATCTACCCTACCATTATGTATTCCAGAACCCAAGCATTGTCAACTCACCTGTCAATTCATCTTAGGATTCCTGGGCCTTCATATCTGACCTATAGCTTCCCCCCACCCCCATTTGTGCAATCTCCCTCAATCAGAAGATTTGAATTCCTTGAGTGCTTCATCTAGTGCTTAGCACATGGTAAATACTTAATAAAAACCTTTTGATTTATTGATGAATTCTTCCTTCATTACTCAACTCCTTGTCATCATCTCCCACTCTCTCCTTTTTAATTCCAGTCTCTGATAAAGAGGTGGCCCTTTTCCTCCCTAAGGCCGACCCCTCTATATGTACCACTGATTCTAATTTTTTCTACTATCTCTAGTAGATCATCTCCACAATCATTTCCTCTCTCTCTACTCTTCAATATCTCCCTATGTTGGCTCCTTTCCTACTTCCTACAAAAATGCCCAAGTTTTCCCCTTCTTACTCTATCATCCCACAAGCTATTTTCCTGTATCTTTTTTTTCTTCCCTCAACCAAATTCCTAGAAAGAGCTCTCCAAATTTATTGCTTCTATTTTCTTTCCTCTCACACACTTCTCAACCCTCTGTAATCTGGCTGCCTAATCCCATTATTCAAATGAATCTGATTTTACCAAAGGAGTATTTTGGGGGACTTCTGAGAGGAAAGAACCAGGAGTGATTCTAAGAGTTGGAGAATTTATGAGTTGTTTACTATCTTACATATAGTCAGAACTTAATATTTTTTCTATCACCTCTAGGATCAAATATAAATTGGATTATGTTCTAAACTACGTTGGTAGGGGCCATCCCTCATGTAGAGTGTGAATTAACTCAAATAGCTGGGCTTATGCTGAGTGTTTTGACTGTCTTTTCTTCTGTTTTGTGTTTCCTTCCCTAAATAGGTGATAGAGTAACAACTTTAAGTTGGATATATGCAGGGCGTTGACCTTGTAAGTCCTGAAAGGATAGAAGGGTCCTGAAAGGCCTTCTAGTGGCTGCAGTTTTCCTAGGGTGGCAGTGGCTGATGGCAGAAGAAACACTGGAGAGAAAGGCTACCCAAAAGAAAGCCAAGCTTGGTTGTTTGATTGAATAGTGCTAACAGAAGTGCAAATGTAATTTGCACTAATTAACTGCCTTAAGAAATTGTTTATGTCCTAACCAAGGCTTGAACATTACCCTTTCAGCTGATTGTACTAGTAGTTAAGTTGCTGAATTCTATTTAAATTCTGAATTTATTCTGAAATTTATTAAATTTTGAATTCATTCTGAAATAAGCATTCTGTTCCTTTTAGGATATCATTTCATTCTGTGCAGAAATAAATTGTGTGTTCTACAACTGTGCATTTCATATAGCTTGTGCATGGCACATATATTTTACTTTTTCCCTTTTAGAAGGGAAACCCTAGGACCAAAAGTAGAAGGGTCCCAGGTGTTTGATTAGCCAACGTGTATAGGTGGAGGGAGAGTAGCCTAATCCCTTTCATTAAAGGCCATGGCTCCTCATGAATAAACCTGGTCCTGGGTCTCTGGTTTTCGTACAGAGTAAGGAGTGAAAGAATCCCTGAGACTCTGCAAATACCAGCAGCAGAGTCTCTATGCTAGATTTGTATTCCCAGGCTTTATTACAGTAAGCACTTAAATGTGTTAAACTTTTTTTTTTGGCATTTAAAACCTTTCACAAGCTAGTCCTAACCTATTTTTCCAACCTTATCATACTTAACTCCCTTTCACACACATTGTTCAGTTGTGTTTGACTCTTCGTGACCTCATCACTGTCCATGGGGTTTTCCTGGCAAAGATATTGGAGTGGTTTGCCATTTCCTTCTCCAGGGGATTCACACACATTCGGTTCAGCCAAACTTGCTTCACAGAAATAGGGCATACCATCCTTATTCTCTGTGAATTTGTCCTGGTTGATCCTCAGGCTTAGAACACCCTCCTTCCTCCCCTCTATTTTTTAGAAACCCATTTTTTTTCAAAGATAAGTTCCCCCAGCTGCTACTGTATTTTCCCTCTCAAATGCCTTCTATCTCTTTTTGTATGTAGCTACATACCTACCTGCTTGCTGTCTCCTCTAGATGGGTTGTAAGCTCCTTGAGGGTGGTTTACTGTTTTTCATAGGTCTTTTTCTCATTAGTGCTTAATGGTGCTTATCACTTATTATTTACTTAATAAATGATTATTCTTGGATTACCAAGGGGAGGGAATGTGAATGGGAGAGGGAGGTAGATACTTATTACATGTACTCTGAAGAGTGAAGTCCCTTCTCTAGGCCTGTGGATACTGCTATGAGGTAGAAAAATTCCTGGAAGGGACTTGGAAGATCTGTATTTTGTATGGTACCATCTTTATCACTTAAGTTGCTGTTAAATCTTGGGGGAGTTATGGTCCCTATCTAGGTCTGTTTCCCCAGCTGTAAAACGTGTGTGTGTGTGTGTGTGTGTGTGTGTGTGTGTGTGTGTGTGTGTTGGTGGAGGGGCAGAGGAGGGTATTGTAGCAGAAGGTTCCTTCTAGCTCTGAAAACCTTTTTTCTGTCATGGGCCGCTTTGGCAGTCTGGTGAAGTCAAGTTATGAATCCCTGATCTAAAGTCTGTTTTCCCATCTCTACCTCTAACGTAAATCAAGAGGCATTAATTAGCCAACACAGCTCCACTCAAACACAGTGCAGAGCCCCTCCTCCCAGCCATCCTCCCAGCCATCTGACAAACACCTGGAGAAGGGAGCAGACCCAAAGAAAGCATCTCACTGGGGACGGCGGCGTGAGCAAGGCTGCAGCGCAGGCGCAGTGGGAAGCCCAGGGGCCCGTAGAGCAGCGGACCTAGGGAGGCAGGCCCTCGCCGCCGCTTCCCAGACTGCAGCGCGGACGGCGGGGCGGGGCCTCTGGCCGGGGCGGGGCCAGGGGGGCGTGGCCTGGCTCTCGGAGGTGCGGACAGCGCGAGGCTGCCGCCCGCCTCTGCAAATCCTGCCCTCGGGCCCTGTCCCACCTCGCGCCTCCAGCTCGACTTCCCCGAGCCGGTGGCGACGCTGCCGATAATGCTAGTGTGAGATGCGGGCCCGGCCACCCCGGACAGGAGCAGCTGCCGCCGCAGCCCTAAGCCCGTCCCGAGCCCTCTCCGCCTCCGACTCGGCCTCTGCTTCCGCCTCATCCCCGGCCTCGGCGGCGGGCCCGGCGCGAGGGGCCGTGCGGGGCTGCAGGTGGACAAGCGGCAGAGGCCGGGGCAGGACGCGCACCTGGACGAGCAGCCGCCGCCTCCATAAACACTGCTATAGGACTCAGTAGCCCCTTGGAGGCCCTCGGTGGCCTTCCCCCAACTCTACCCCAACCGCGTCCTCCCGAGCCCCAGCGCCCCCTGCACGGCCATGGAGGCCCAGCCTCGGCCCAGCCTCGCTGCCGCCGCCTCCTCCACGCAGCCGCTCCGCTCGGAGCATGTGGTGAGGCTCCGGGAGGAGCAGGAAAAGGTAAAAACCCAAAGCTCTTTAACTCCTTCCCCAGGCCTCTCCCCGCATCCCTCGCCACTCTCGTCACTCCTTTCGTACTCCTTATCCATTTCCCCTGGACCCCGAGTTGCCCATTCCCGTACTTCCGCCTTTCTCCTCCGCCCCTAGGGCAGGCCTGGTCAGCCCCGCCCCTTCCATTTGACCCTAGAAATTGGAGGTCTGCACGTCTGCACCTGGTTACCCCGTGTACCCCCTTGCACCCCATTTTACGTGGTGAAAAGGAAAAGCAGGGGGCGAGCAGTAACTTCACCCGCTTTCTTTTGTCCATGCCAGTTCGCACGTGGTTAGGGAATCCTCGGGGACGTGCTGCTTCGCAGCCCCTGCCCTCTTGCCTCGTCTGATTCCTAGGCTCTCCTAGTTATTCTTTCGGTATTTTCTCTCCTTCCCCTGCGACCCCCCGACGCAGCCAATTCACTTCTGGCCCCATTTCTTGGGGGAGGAGGATGCTGATGAGCTTTTTACTCGCCCAGGCATCATTCTCTTAAAAGTTCCTCCTCCCTCCCCCCAGCCCTAGTACAGCTGCGCTCAGCTTTGGAAAAGAAAGTGTTGGACAAACTTGAGTCACGTGCTTCTGTTTTCATCTCTTAAGAGCTTGATGACCCAAGGAAATTAGAAGGGGGTCAGAGAATAGTCTTAACAACTAATCAGATGAAGAGGTCAAGGAATAGTTATAGCATGTAATCACCTTGTAAAATTGTTTTGAATTTAAGTGAAAGGGCAGGGTTAAGCTTTTTTTTTTGTCATTTGATGTAACTTTAAAATTCGACATTTGGTTAAGAAATTATAATTTTGTTTTCCTGTCACTATGTAAATACCTGTTAGCTTCATTTTTTCTTAGCTTATGTAGTAATTTCAATGCTCAAATATAACTTTAAATGTTTTTAATTAAATATTTTAATATTTACATTTAAATATTAATATTTGAATAATTAAAAACTTTGATAACTATCATTCTGAGGGATCACACGGTTATTTTGTGCCAAAATGGAATGCAAATTTCTATTAAATGCCTGTCGTTTTATTGCATCTTAATTTCAGGTCGTCTAGCTATTGTATAGAGGGGTAGAGAGGCAGCTTATTGTATATAGAGATAAAGCTTTGGAGTTTAGGATACTTGGGTCATAGTCCTTTTTCTGATTCTCTGCCTCTGTGGATCTTGGGCAAGTCACTTAATGCCTTAGTGACCTAGACAGTTCTCTAAGGCTGTTACAGAAATGTTGCCTGCTTGTCTGGCCAGCATTTATAGAGCATACATGCTTTACAAATACTGTCATTTTTATGCTCACAACAGTGTGAGAGGTAGGTGCTACTATCTTCACTTTACAGATGCGGGGAACCTTAGAGAGGTTTTAAGTGACTTGCCCAGGGATTACACTTATAAGGTGAGAGGGAATTTCCACATCAGGAATTTTTTCACTGAAGACATCAAAGGTCCTCTGTTTCCCTCCTCTTCCCTTTTGTATTTATAATAACAAGGTTTTAGGTAGGTCAATCATGAGAGGAAAGCCTTTTTTTTTTAAATTTTGGATTGTATTTGCCAAAACTGTATTAAATTGTAATGTGCAATTTTAATTTTTGGGTAAACTGGCAATTTCCAAGCCTGGTTCCAAGCAATATTTTTAGGTTGTCTTCAGTTACCCATAAGTGTGAGTACTTCAAATTTCAAAACAATTTAAATTAACTTTTAAAATTGCATATAAATTTTTTGGGGGAGATGTCTTGAAGTAAAACAAGGATAGCCCATTCCTTATTTAAGACATCCAAAATAAGGGACTTCTTCAGTTTTTGTTTCGTGACTGATCTGAATTGAAGTGCATTTCTTTGTTGTTTACAAAATGTTACCAGTGGATTGTATTTAAAGTTCTCAAAAAAGTTTTTGAAACATTTTTACAGTGTAAAGTCAAATAACTTTTATTTTTTCAATTCATGGCCACAAAGAGTTAGCATGATGTAGTGGATGGAGAGTTGGCTTTTTTGGAGTCAGGAGGACTTGGATCCATCTCTGTGCTTATTATTGTGAGACTCCTGGGTAACCTTTCAGTGCTCTAGGCAACTCCATACTTGCAGAAAAGGTACCCACTTGCATTATTAGAAGGAGTTGGCTCGCTCAGGAATTCCCCTGTGTTAGTCAAATCAAATGGCCATTCTCTAGGCAGGGCCATGTTTAAGCAAGGGAACTTTGTATCTCATCATTTTGTACTTTTTTCCCCTGAAAAATAAGGGGATTGGACTAGATGCTTGACCTCTTAAGGTCTCCTAACTCTCCATCTGTGATCCTAAAAAAGAAACTGGTGTTGTTTCTTGTTGGTAAACTTTTATTTTGTTATTATTATTGTTATTATTATTTTTGTTGCCGTCTGAACTGGTGAAAACAGGAGCTTTAGAGATATCTGGTATTCTCACTGTTCCCATCTGGGGAAGCCTTTGTGAACAGCTAGGTGGCTAAGTGAATAGGGTTCTGGGCCTGGAATCAGGAAGACATCTTCCTGAGTTCAAATGTGGCCTCAGACACTGACTAGTTGTATGACCCCGGCAAATCACTTAACCCTGTTTGCCTCAGTTTCCTCATTTGTACAATGAGTTGGAGAAGGAAATGGCACTTCAGTATCTCGGACAAGAAAACCCCAAAATGGGGTCATGAAGAGTTGTACATGACTGAAAAACAACTGAACAACATTATTTGTGAGCCAAATTTATTCTTTTACCTTATTTTGTAGTAAAATGTTCTGCTTTTGATACTAATTTATGACCTCTGATGAGATACAGGAAAGACTGTAATGTCTCTTAAGAGTAATAGGTTGTTTTATTTTAATGCTAGGGTAGGTAAAATCCAAAGGATACATTTATTTGGAATACTCTGAAAGCTATCCACCCTATGCTTATTTGGATTTAGAGAAAATATAAGCAAAATTGCCTTCTTATATTCCTAGAGCAGCCTCAGTAGCTGTTGTCTGTAAGTATCAGATATGGTGCAAAATTACTTTTTTGTGGTTTATAACTTTTTGTTAGTATTAATTTTGCATACAAGGTTAGCAAGTGTAGGACTCTCATGGATATGTAAAATGACTTCCAGTTCCTGGTAAATATTTTGAGTAAGTGATTTAGAAAGGGACTGTTCTTAAATGGATTTTCTCCAGTGGAAAAGGCAGGCCAGGAGGCTATAAATCTTTTTAGACTGTTGGATTTTGAGACATAGGACAACTATACAAAGTATATTTTGTAATTCAGTTAAAATACTTTTGGGGAAAATTTTAGCCTTTATTAACAAATCATTGTGAGCAGTCAAATACTTAAGGTACTAGTGGAATATAGACTAGTAAAAGATAATCATAGTATCCTATTTTTGATGTATAAAAGGAAAACATCTTGTTACCTTTATAATGGTGGATTTTATCTTCTCATAGCTGTTCTAAGAGGAGATGGATATAATGGATAAATTAAACATCATTTTTATCTAATGCTTTTGGCTTTGTTTTTTAAAGTTTAAGCTACTAAAATGCAATTGTTTTAAGTTTCAGCTTCCTTACCCTGCTAATCCTCTGATATAGATGCAAAGGAGCAATGAAATTATCTAAACTTTGACAGCTTGAGGGAAAAGGAAGAAGCAAATGGGATCTATATAATCCATAAACTGAATAAATGACCACAGGCAATGGTGAAATTTTATCATTTAATGTTGAATTGCATTTAAACCCTTATTGATCATAAAGACTTTCTCTAGACATTTTCTTGAATTTGTTTCATATCTGTACCCTAAAAGTAAATAAGGAATTTCAGCTTTTTAGGAAATACTATTGATCCCACAGTTACAGATCTAGGAGTGGAAGTGATCTAAGATGACATTATTTTAGTTGCTTTTAATGAATATAAGCACATTTTTTACATAGTTACTAAATATAAGTATAGCCTTTCCATATTTGAGGGAAATGCCCCTTGGCTAGTTAGCAAAGTTTTGATATGGTTAGCTTTTGATGCCTTTTTTCTCAATATAATATTGTTTGTGGAATATCCGTTCCTTCTTGCTTTTCCTCATTAAAATTCAACAGTTATATTTATTAGGTGCCTTTTATATGTAGGCTTTGATGTAATATATGTTATAGAATTCAACATAAGGAAGGCTCATCTTGGCATTTTGTACAGGAATTTCATCTTGAATTCATTTCTTTGCATGATGGTAGTGGGGTTGCTAATTTACCTATTACTAGATATTTGTCTTGAAGATATAACTTAGAATGAGTCTCCAGACTCTGGAGATTATTTTTCTTTAAAGGATTTTTTCTCCCCAAATGTAAATTCAATTTAAAATTCTATTCTGATTTTTAAAATTGCACATAGTTTTATTGTATCTTAAAGTTGACTGATATTTTATATCAGGGATCATGACTTCCCTGGATGAGAGGTCAGAGATATAGCCCAGAACCTAAGTTTTCCTTAATATCATTAATACCCCTGAATCTTATTAGTGAATATTATAGTTCCTGAATGTTACTTGAATATTATATGTTCTGAATATTAATGCACCTGTTGATCAAAATAGTTTTTGAAATTCTTCTTTTGAAATTGCCTGTATGGCTAGTTTATCAGCTATGGCAGAAAATCAATTTAATTACTTTGTAGTGGTCACACTTTAAAAAAACAAACCCAAACCCAAACTCAGATGGTATTGCCTAACTTTGATCACTCACCATTTTCTCCAAACTTGGTTCTAGACTTTGGCTGAATCCAAAAATCAAATCAAATTCCATGGACTTGGAATGAACACCTAGATCTCTCCCTAACTTTAAAAAACTGTCAGTTGTTGGGGCAGCTGGGTGGCACAGTGGATAGAGCACCGGCCCTGGAGTCAGGAGGTCCTGAGTTCAAATCCGGCCTCAGACACATAACACTCACTAGCTGTGTGACTCTGGGCAAGGCGCTTAACCCCAAGTGCCTCACCAGAAAAACAAACAAAAATCTGTCAG